CCAGGGGCTCCATGCATCCTTGGCATAGACTATCTCAGGAGAGGGTACTTCAAAGACCCAAAAGGGTCTTTGGTATGGGCTTTTGGTATTGCTGCCTCGGAGATGGAGGAAATGTCTGTCAGAAAGACCGGATAGCTGTCCACCTTACCTGGTCTCTCAGAGGACCCTTCTGTTGTGGGGTTGCTGAAAGTCAAAGAACAACAAGTGCCAATCGCAACCACAACAGTGCACTGGCGGCAGGATCGCACCAACAGAGCATCTCTGATTCCCAAGACTGGAGAGCCAAGGAGTGATCAGCAGGACCCGCTCACCCTTTAATAGCCCCATATGGCCAGTGCGAAAGTCTAATGGAGAGTGGAGACTAACAGTAGACTATCGTGGCCTGAATGAAGTCACACTGCCATTGAGTGCGGCCGTACCAGACATGCTAGAACTTCAGTATGAACTGGAGTCAAAGGCAGCCAGGTGGGATGCCACCATTAATATTGCCAATGCATTTTTCTCAATCCCACTGGCAGCAAAGTGCAGGCCACAGTTTGGTTTTACTTGGAGGGGTGTCCAGTACACTTGGAACCGACTGCCCCATCAGTGGAAACACAGCCCTACCATCTGCCATGGATTGGTCCAGACTGCACTGGAACAGGGGCAGGCTCCAGAACACCTGCAATACATTGATGACATTATTGTGTGGGGTGATACAGCAAAAGAAGTTTTTGAGAAAGGGAGGAAGATAATCCAGATCCTTCTGAAAGCTGGTTTTACCATAAAACAAAGTAAGGTCAAGGGACCTGCACAGGACATCCAAACTATCAATTTAATTTTCCCTAATGAAAGGGATGTTACTTTTTGCTACACTGTACAGACTGATTCACTTTGATTACTTGTTCAGGTTGTTAAGGAATGAAAAAAATAACATCAGTCTTGCTTAGTTCTTAAAAACGTATATATATATATTGCAGTCACATTCTTGCTAGATTTGTGGCCTGACAAGATAAGGGAACAGGCTACAAACACTGCTGTAGAAACAACAGGAGGGGGAACAGAGTCTGAGTCAGGGCTTTCTAGTAAGAATTTTTTCAAATTAAAATTATAGTGCTTTATTAAATATTATAGCAATAATACTTTATTATATCAGTTGACAGTTGGACTTGATGATCTTAAAAGTCTTTTCCAACCTAGTTAATTCTGTGATCTTTATTTCTTCTTATAATGTGTTTTTTCTCTTACAGATATAATCTGGGGTAAAATTCCAATGGTATTGACAATATCCTTGCAATGAAATTAAAAATTTAAAACTTTCAGTTTTTCAGATAACTAGGATGTACCTCCAGTGGGACTGGCTGTGCTTGGGTGTCCTGATAATTGGCTCAGTGACTGCAGAAATTGAAAACAAAGAAACTCTGGATGCCAGTGTTGAAGTAGAGGATTTTGACAAGCAGTCTCAAGAAGCTGATGTTGATGGAGATAAATCTTCCTTAGAGGTAAGCTGACAAAAGTCTTTAGTTAAAGACTTCTTTTATATACAAATGTATATAAAAAAGAGCAAGTTAACACACAATTGACAACTGAGTGGGTGTCAAACCCACCAGTCTGAGTTTTACAGTTGCTGTATGTGACACATAGGACAAGCTTAACAAATACTCCTGCTGTGCCAAAGTGTAAATTCAGATCTCCTGCCTACGGTGGATAGTCAAGAAGAAGATTTTGTTAGTCTGTGCTTCAATCTAGATACAGAACCTTTTGTTGTAACTCCTAATGTGCCATTGCTAGAGAAGACAGCAGAAAATATCTTGGTCTTAATGAGATTTTGACTTTAGATCAGTTCTTGATTTCATCAGCTACCTTTTGGCACTGTCTTTGTTCCCAGAAAACTTGCTTGTTATGCCATACTTCACAGTAGATGTGGGCAATATTCATAAATTATTTTTGCCAAGTTTTTACTGTGTAGCTCAAATGTAATGTGCCAAGTAGACAGGAAACATTTCTATAAAGAAGAATAGGAAACATTTCTAGAAAGAAATAGGGAGAAAGCAGAGAATTGGTGCAAGTTTGGTAAATTTCCTGGGGTCTTGTTACACGTAAGATGTATAGCAGTACTTTAGTTATGAGCTTTGAACACAGGAAGCAATTTTTAAAACACCCAAACTGTAAAAATTAGAGGGCTGAGGAAAGGTGGTTTATGTTGCTAGGTATTTCTAATGAACAAAACCTGATGGTCTGTCTGGGTGGGACTACTTCTAGAGGTATGGTAGTGTATTTCAAGTTAACAATTGTAATTTATGTTAGCTTATGTACCTGTACATGTGTTTTAGGTTGTGTACCAGACTCCAAAGCCAACTGGGGAAGTTTATTTTACAGCAACCTTTGATGGAGTATTGGCTGGGTAAGTTTATGCCTTAAAATCTTAAACTTTTCCTTTGAGCACTTTAATGTATAGTGGCAGGACTTCTTTTGTATTCATTTTTCTGCTAGTATCTCTATAAAAATTTTTACAGGGGTTACAGTTGGGAAGGCTGGCAATGCTTGTTTGAAATACAGCATAATGTTAAGTCTGACAGTTAACGTTTCAGGTATGTTGCTGGGTTTTGTGAAAACATTGTTTAACAAATGCAAAAACTTAACTGGGATACTTGAAAAATGTCATTCATCCCAATTTCTAGCTTCATGAGATCTGTTAAAAGATTAGTTTGTCTTCCTAATAAATCTACTATTCAAAGGTTTTGCTACAATGCTTCGGAGGTTTTATTTTGATCTAGCTGTACATAATTTATGTAAGGATAACAAGTATGGAACTAAGCTGTATGAGAAAGTAAGCAGTTTGTTGCCTTTCTTCCCTAAAATTGGGAAAAGAGTGCATATACGTTGGCTAGGTAAATCACCAGAATAGAATAGCTTTTTTGAGAATGGGTCTTGAAAATCTTCTGTGTGACTTGCAGAGATGTTTTATTTCCTTGTTGGTCTTTCTCCTGGTAGACCAAGGATGTAGTTTGCCATTTACATTGTGAAGCTTTTCCAGCATCTCTGCAAAACCAAATCTGACTGAAATTCAAACAGGAAAGATAGCATCCCTGAAATAATCCATGCAGAGGATGATTCAGAATGAATGAAAATAGTTCTTTGTAGAGTTAATTATGAAACTGTAGTATTGTAGTTGATACAATGAAGAGTTCAGCAACACTGTTGGCTTAAGATATTCCTGTGCATGGCTCGGGATGGAACTGCTGTACCCCAGATGACGGTGGATTGCTCTGTCTTCCTTTTTATTTTTTTTTTTCCCCCCTCCTCCAAATGGGCACTTTGTTATGTGGAATGCGCATGTCTTTTGGTGACCTCAGTTTGATAAGCTGAGTTTGCCTTGTTCATAGTCTCAAGATTGGGAGTTGGTTTGCCCTGTTGGGATTCCTTGTGTGCAGTACGTCTGGAATGTGTTCAATGCATAATTGCATTTGTCGTTTGGACACTTTTACCTCTGCCTTTTATGCCTTGTTATGCATGTGTACTGTTACTGTCAGATAGTGTTAAAGTTTCTTTGGGTGATTATTTTTTTCCTCATCATGTTGAAGATGTTACACTTGAACCTTGCTATTTTCCATGTATTTTTGACATTATATGCTTATGTAAAGTTCTTGCATTTTGACAAACTTAACCTTGTATATAAAACTGAAGTTTATTCAGAATAATTGAATTACTTTAGAGCTATAATTGTATAATCATTTATAATCTTAGGAAGTATTTTGAAATGCTATATTAGACTAATCTATTTTAATTTTTCCTTTCGTGTTCTTTGAACTACACAAAGTTCCATGATTCTGACTAGCAAAATCATTATCACATTCTCAGCCTAGAAGCAAAAGCTGGTTTTTCTGTGCTTGTTAAATATTACAGCTTTGGCATAAGTAGTTCAGTGACTACTACACTTTTTGTTTTAGGTGGGTGTTGTCTAAAACCAAGAAAGAAGACACAGATGTAAACATTGCTAAATATGATGGTAACTGGTTTTAATGTTCTTTTCCACTGTATAATTTCTGATGTTCGGTTGGTTTTTGAGAAACAACTACCTTTTATACTGAACTTGTCTTGGAAAACTTTGAAAAAAGTTTGTATAATGACAGTTACCCTGAAACAGAGACGTGAAACTTTGCTCATTGGGTCGCTTAGTGTGAAGATACTTCTCTATTTTTGTCATCCCAACAATCTATTGCAATGAATTATTGTAGAATACCCTTTGGCATCTGAATATTCAGTATTGTGAATAGTGCTTCTTGAGAACTACCTTCTCTGAAATCAGATCAGAAAGATATACAACTTCAATTTCAGTTGTTAAACATATTTCTAAAGCAGCATGTTCCATGTTGCTGTGTCTGTCCTACTGATTCGTGGGTTGGTCTCTGTCATGGTTTAACCCTGAAGAAAATTAACTTTTTTCCAGCCCAGTCTCCAGGTCTAGTCTCTGAAACAAAAGATGATGTTTTTCTTTAAAATACTTGTTCAGAATGTCTGTGCTTGAATGTAGGGTTCTCCAGTGGTTCTTGTACAGTTTATTCTTACAGTAGTCTAAAACAAATCTGAAAAGTAATAAAAAGTTGTTTTGATGGATTTTATCATTGGGGTTTGCACTTACAAATTCCTAGGCTAGAATTATCTGCTTTAATATCATTTTAAACTAACAGATGTGTGACCCATGTCAGTAATTGGCCGTCTGAATTTATTTCATTCAAGAGAAAATGTCCCTGCCCATTGAAGGAAGATCTCCCTGCCCATGACAGAGGAGTTGGAACTAGCTGATCTTTAAGGTCCCTTCCAACCTTCTATGATCCTATAAAGTAGGGAGAACAGGAAAAGTTTCTGCTGCAGAAGAGAAGTATTTGCTACTGCTCTTTTGTCAATTAACTAAATTAATGTTAATAGAAAGTGGTAAGCAAACATAACTTACAGGGTTTTGGTGTGTCAGTCAATATAGAACAGATGGTTTTAGGTATAGCACTTACCAGAAATACTTGCAATTAAACAGAAATCCAGGGGATGTTTATACATGCTGTGGGTTTATGCAATAAACTTAATGAAATTTTGTGATGTAAAAGCATTTAATGTTAAATGTGTACATTTTTCTATTCAGTTTCATTGGTTTATGGTGGATTATGGTAAGGATGTGGTTCTTTCCTACTTTGGAGTCCATGGCTGGCTCCCACCCCCACCCCACCCCCCCCGTGAGTTGAAGAATTCTCTTTTACACATAATACTGAGATTTTGATCATTTTCTTTCTTTTGGCTGTAACAGTTAGGATACTGGGAGTCTTACTGCTGTAGAAACAGTTACTTGGGGAAAGACAAAAGAAAAAGCTTGTCACTTTTTGTAGTTAAAACTACTTGCTCTGTTTTTCCCTAAGCTTTCTCTCCTCCTTGCTGTCTGAGCTGGAACACTGAGTTAGGTGGATCTTTGGCATTACACAGTTTTTATTTTTATCATATAACTGCAGAGCTGGAATTCTAGTAGTTTCTAATTATTGAAAAGTGCTGGTTAAAACATTCTGTCATTGGTTTGATAGAAAAACGTGAGCAGCAAATTTGTGTACCATGATTTTATTTTTTTTTAACTGGGGAAGGGAGTGCAATTTGAGTGCTGTATGTCAGTTAGTTTGGGGAAGTGTAAGCTGGATGTGGGTAATGTTTTGTATCCACAGTAGGATTACCAGTATTGAATTGGATTATTATTGTTTAACTTCTTTGACATCAGATGTCAATATTTTTTCCCTACTTTAGCAAGTGGTCTTTATTTGCTTTCATGGGGCTGTTGTTTCTTTACTTCAGGCTGCATTTCTTTCAAAAACTCTGTGTTTGTGTGTGTCTGTGTGTGTGTTAGGAAAATGGGAAGTAGAAGAGCTGAAAGAAAACACAGTGCCTGGAGACAGAGGATTGGTGTTAAAGTCAGTCGCAAAGCACCATGCAATATCAGCTATGCTAACAAAGGAATTTATTTTTGATGATAAACCTTTGATTGTCCAGTAAGTAATCCCTATGATTTTATTTTTACTTATGATTTAATATTATTAAAATCCTTGCAATCTTTTGCAAGAAAGTGATGTGAATGCCTGTAGAAAAATGCTGACTTACACATAGCATTGACTACTTGTATCCAGAGTTATCAGAACTGTAAGTATGGATGATTTAGTAATCAAATGAGAAGATAAAATTAAACTCTTTTGAAATATTTTTGGACAAAAATCTAATATCTACAAGATTGCTGAAAAAGCTAACTAATTTTCAGTCTTGCTTTAGTATCTAAAGCATATGCAGTTTGAGCGCAGCGTTCTTCCACTTGCAGAATACTTGTGTAGCTCCATAAAAACAACTTGAATCTTGAACATGTTATAGCAGTATTGGTGATCATAAGCACCATGGCAGTATGACTGCTTTTTTCTGATAGTCAGGCTTGCTTTCTTGTACTTACAGATATATCCAGATAACTCCTGGCTCAAGTCTGTGTGTCAGTCTGGTCAGTTTTAAAGGTGGCATAAACTTTGTAGAACTCTTGCCTATTTTTACTTCTCTTTGATGTTTGCACATTGGTTGATACCACCTTGAAACTTTCCTTACTGGTGATGCCCACTGTAGCAATTGCTACTGTGGCATTTTTTGATGGACATTGCTGCTATATTAGCTTGCATAGCGATTAAGACCTTTTGGTCACGTAGAAGTGTTTTGACTTTAGTGACTAATACAGTCTTAACCATAATTAGAACTGCAGATTAGGTGTTAGTTTATAATTGTCTGATACTTCGAATGTTTTGTTGTTTTTCTTAACTTGCCCAGGTATGAAGTGAATTTTCAAGAAGGCATTGACTGTGGTGGTGCATATATTAAACTTCTTTCCAGCAGCAATGACTTGAATCTGGTATGTCATTATACTCAACTTTCACTATCAGTTGTTCATTTGAGAAATGCATAATTATGGTTGTGAAATGTCAATAAGAAATTAATTCCTAATGCATTCTAAATTCTTAAAAGCTTCCCAAATGTTTAAATAGAAGATTGGGCAAGGTAATAATATACATATAATTTACTGTATATATACAAAATATTTGGAATTTTGCATCTTTTATTTGTGGAATATTTGGTGATGTTATTTTTCTTATAGTTTCCATTTATTTTAATGAAACTTAGTGTAAAACTTACTTAAAGATCTTAAAATCTATATTCACACAAGAAACTTCAAAATGTGAATTTCAGAAGGCTAGAATAAGGAGTTTGCTGTGATTTTAACGTACTCTTAGTTCTGCACAAGTGATGTCTTATATCCAGGACAAAGGTCTCTTGTGTCTGTTTAGTCTGACTTTCTGCAATAATACAAGCTGTAGAATCTCAACTTCCAATTTGTGAAACGCTTTTTACTGCATGGCACGCAATATAGCATCTTACAAAGGGTCACAGCTTGGATTTAGTAACTGAAAGTGATGGGGAATCTCTGTTCCCAGGAAAAGGCCTGAATGATCAGGTGTGAAAAATTAGTAAGTGCCTTAGTATGCTGGACCTTTCTGTAGATTTTCTTTCATTTCTTTTCTCCTTTCCCCCACCCCCCCTTTTTTTTTTTTTTTTTTTTTTTTTTTTTTTTTTTTTTTTTTTTTCCCTTCCTTCTTCCTGATACAGTGACATGGACTTGCCTGCCCTTTCCAAACTTGTCTGTAAAACTCTTCATTATTGTGCCAATGCTTAAAATACTGCCTTTTCTAGCCAAGTCTCAGTTCTGGCACTGATTGTTTCTACTTCTAATATTTCTGCCTCTTCTCTGGTGTGTATATATATAAGCTGTTTAGCCTGTGATGGAGGATATTTTAGCAACTTTTTTAACATTGATGATTCATAGAACTCGTTAAGAACTCTTCAACGAAGTTTTAAGTTGACAAGCAGGTGTTCTTTATTGCGGTGCTGGGGAACACAGGGGATAGCTCCTGCTAGCATGTCCTGTCTGAGCATCAAACAAACTGTGATTATATTGTTGTTGATCATACATATTCATTGCATCACATACATATTTATGAAGTTTCTTATACATGACATGATATTTCTAGATTTTTCTTCCCGCATGCGCACTTTATTATGGTTGTGGTCTTTGGGACCCCTGGTGGTCGTTTCTTTTTTTTTTTTTTTTTTCCCTTCCTTCTTCCTGATACAGTGACATGGACTTGCCTGCCCTTTCCAAACTTGTCTGTAAAACTCTTCATTATTGTGCCAATGCTTAAAATACTGCCTTTTCTAGCCAAGTCTCAGTTCTGGCACTGATTGTTTCTACTTCTAATATTTCTGCCTCTTCTCTGGTGTGTATATATATAAGCTGTTTAGCCTGTGATGGAGGATATTTTAGCAACTTTTTTAACATTGATGATTCATAGAACTCGTTAAGAACTCTTCAACGAAGTTTTAAGTTGACAAGCAGGTGTTCTTTATTGCGGTGCTGGGGAACACAGGGGATAGCTCCTGCTAGCATGTCCTGTCTGAGCATCAAACAAACTGTGATTATATTGTTGTTGATCATACATATTCATTGCATCACATACATATTTATGAAGTTTCTTATACATGACATGATATTTCTAGATTTTTCTTCCCGCATGCGCACTTTATTATGGTTGTGGTCTTTGGGACCCCTGGTGGTCGTTTCTTCATCATCTTCCTCTTCATCACCTTGTCCTTTGGCTGAACTTCAAGTTTTGAAACTCCCATTGTCAAGCCAACTCCCACTAGTCCAGTTCTAGCTGGTCATCGTGAAACACTTACCCAGGATACTTTCTCACTGGCATCTATTACAATATCTTATTTTTCAACATCATCTATTACAATATCCTGTTTTTTTAATGTCATCTGTTACAAGGCCACAAAGTCTAACTGAATTTCACTCTTTACAGAAAATTTGTAATTCTTTGTCTCAATTGAGAAGTGGCAGTGAATTGTGACGTAGGAGCTTGCGCAACATAAATTTTGCATTGACAGCATAGGACTTGACTGCAAATCAGCAGTCAGGAAGAGCCACTTAACAGTGGGACTCTTCATGAGATATAAGGGATAGTATCTATTTCTGCAAGAGTCTAGGAGATGACAACATCCGTAAGAAGTTGCTTGTAAGCATTTCTAAGATGTACTAATAAAAGCTTTAATGCAACTTCCTAGTACTCTTCCTCTTTCCTAAAATTTGTATGCCAGTGTGTTTATTATGCTCAAGTAACTTGAGTACTAAGTATTAAAAATACAGACTGTAGGAAAACAAGTAGAGGCTTGACACCTTTCATAATGGAAATATATGTAAATGATAGTGAAACTGAAGTTTGAAGTTTTACATTGTCTTACTTTCCTGGTAAACCAGAAGATGGCAAATACAAAATTTGCCTGTTTATGGCCTGGCTCACAATTCATCCTGTACTGGTTTTGGAATTTCACTGGCTGTGTCATGAGGTAACTTAAAAGAATCAGTGTTCTCTTTCTCATTTTTTGTTTGGTTTTGTTTGTGGGGTTTTTTTTGTTTGTTTGGTTTTTAAATTTTGAAATCAGACATGTCTCAATGCTGTATATATGCATACTGCTACTAGATAGTCAGTTAATTATTGTTAATTCTTATCATTGACATTTTCCTTAGAATGTTGAGTGTTGTAAAAGGGACCAAACTTAAAATACATGCACTTCTGTAGTACATAATGTGAAAAAGTTTTACTTTGCATTCAGAAAACTTAAGAATATGGACTCATTTCAAGCAATACGTTTATGTCGGAGTATATCATTCAAGAAGAAAGCTTCCAGAAGTCAAGTGGTCTTCTTCAAGCAATTGCTTAAGGATATAAGGCAGCATGTTACTGTGCATTCAAAGTACAAAAAATCACACAGCTGAAAAAAACCAAACCAGCTTAATGCAGCGTACTCTGAAGGAGTGTCACTGTATCTGATATTTTCAGAGTTGTATGTTATCGTTGCTGTTATTTAGTATAGAGCAAGAAGACTAATAAAATACTGAATAATAATAATATTTCTGGGGTTTATTGGAAAATAAAATTATGAAGACCAATGGCAAGTTCCCTTCCATGTTTTAGTTTATTGTTTGTAGAAAAATACAGATACCTGAGTATGTTGATTTGTGACAGGCATCTCTACTTAACATAAGGGTAAGGTCTAAATAAATATATTCATCCTCCTTTCGAAGGCTTAAGTGATCTCTACAGTTATTCTATTCCCTGAGAACTGAGAGCACCCAGCAACGCAAGAGGAGTCTTCAATTCTTCTCATGGTTTCCCTACCAGTTTTCAGTTACCTTTTAGGAAAAGGCAACCATGCCCTATGCTGTAACTTCAAGGAAATGAAGTACCCAAAGTTACTTCATAACATGTACGGTATAACTTCATAAAATGTACAGTATAACACATGCTCGGCTTTCTTGTTTCTACAGGAATACTTTTTTGACAAAACACCTTATACTATTATGTTTGGACCAGATAAATGTGGAGAAGATTACAAACTACACTTTATCTTCAGACATAAGAATCCTAAAACTGGAGAATATGATGAAAAGCATGCAAAACGTCCTGACGTGGACCTAAAGAAATTATATTTGGACAAGAAGACGCATCTGTATACTCTTGGTATTGTTTAATTCTTACAAGTTTAAATTGGAAAGGAGAGACTAAGAATGTGTTTCATTCCCCTGAAGCTTCATATTTGAGTCTGCTTTTTTATTTGTAACAGTTTGTTAATTCTGAAGGGTGGTTGCTTAATGATTTGGGTTTAAATGATTTAATGACTGCGGTTCACTGCAGGCCATATAAGTGACTTCTGACTGCTGTTGTTTAATATTCAATTATAGGAAAGCATACCAGTCCTGGCCAACCTTTAGCGTGAAGAATTAATATTTTCAGTACTTAGGAAAAAAAAAAAATTTTTGTTAAAGGTATTGAAAGACACACAACTGTCCAATATCCTAGGAAGGCATCAGAGTTCACAGGAATTCAGTTAAATCTGCAGCCTGCCACATGTCACTCTCCTCAACGTAAGAGTTCTCTCTGACACTTACATCTGCAGCAGTGTACCTGAGCAGGTGTTACCATATTCTCTGAAGATTAATCAATATGAGCTGTTTTTAATTCATGTGACATTTCTTTCTGTACCAACAAACAGTAGAGCAGAGATGTTCTTTTTTCAACCCTTTTTCTAATTTCTGAGGAAGAATAAAATCAGAAAAGAATGGGCTAATCTGTGGCATGCTGTGAGTCCAGCAAAATTGACTGTACTTCTGAACTTCCACTGAATAATAATAGAAGGCATGTTCAACTGCTGTGCCATGGGAAAACTTACTTTTTTTTAATAGATTACTGTAGTGTGCCACCATAAACTTTTTCACTTCTAGATAATGGGAATAAGTGAAACAAAACTGTCCTGTGGTAAAGGAGTGCATGTGTTTCTGTATTTGGGCTGTTCATTAGAAATTATGCCTAAAAATACTTAAACTCCAGATTGTGTTTCTTCTGTTACAATTTTTCAAATAGACTCTGTAGAGCTGTGTGATACTGATGCATTATGTGACTGGTAACAGAAGTTCAAAATCAGATCTTTGCATTGTATCTAAAGTGATACAGGGGTTTAACTTTTTCATTTAAGGGTATTTTAATGCTGTTGAAAACTTGTAGGCTGCAAGAGCTTAATTAGCTATTATCAAACTGTCATGAGACTTACTCTGGTTTTCATCACCCATCTTTTAAACTGTCATAAAAGTGGAACAGTATTTACTTTAATACTCTGTGTTTGAATGGACGCTTGAACATACAAATGTGCTCACTGGTTATTAGAAATGGATCTGGATAAAGTGTCTGTTGCTGAGTTTGTCACAGCACAGTTCAATAACCCTGGCTTCTTAGTTACGCTTGTAAAATACCAAAACATTCAAAGAGAATTTTCTGTATTCACAACCTGCATGTGAGAGAAATGGCTGTCAGATTTGAATCTGAGAGAAAATAACTTCAATCCTTTAGCTGTGTGACTGATGCAACTCCTGTGTTTCCATGCTTTTCAGTGTGAAACCGTAATTTAAAATAAAGCAGAATTTTGGCTGAGTGGTAGCATTTTGAAAAATCTGTTAGAATGCGCTTGGATGTGCAAGAAGTTTCATTGTGGGGGGGCCTGATTCCTGTCATACATCCCCACAGTAGCAATTCTAATGTTTTGTGTCCAGATCCAGTACTTGAGTGGCTAATGAGGATTCTGTTTGCTATCATTTGCCTAAGTTTGTGCTTATTACATAGGTTTTGTTTAAAGATACTTGTGAAATGAATGCTTCCATTACTACTTTAATATGATTTCTTCATTTTAGTGCTAAAACCAGATGATACATTTGAAATTTTAATTGACCAACTGGTTGTCAGTAAAGGAAGTCTTCTTGAGGATATGATTCCTCCAGTAAACCCTCAGAAAGAAATAGACGATCCTAGTGATAAGAAGCCTGATGATTGGGATGAGAGACCAAAAATACCTGATCCAAATGCTGTCAAACCAGATGACTGGTAAGGAGAACATTTTTATCTAGGATAAATTTTACATGCAGGTTCTTCATCTGGAGGATTTGATTGTTTTTACTTGTTTTCTGCTAATAGCAGTTGGGACATGTTTCACTGCTAGAAGCACTAAAGTTCCACAACATAACTGAGGTTGGTACTTTGAAAATCACTCCTTTCATGCCAGTTACAGTCCTCTGAACAGAACATTGATTCAAAGTCAGGTGCTGTGTTTCAGGTACTGATTAAAAATACAGCTGCCATATTTTCTAATGTAAGTCTGTAATTGAAGGGATGAAGACGAGCCTTCCAAAATAGAAGATCCTGATGCTGTAAAACCTGAGGGATGGCTTGATGATGAACCACAGTATGTTCCAGACCCTAATGGAAAAAAACCAAAGGACTGGTAAGAACTCGGTTCAGTAAGTGCTTGTTAACATGTCTTGTAGATAAGCCTGCCTATTCTCTGTGGCAGGTTGAATTGTGGATCAGAAGTCAATCCAAATATGCTTGTCTTTCGAGGAAGTAAATTGGAATGTGAAAGGTATGACCAAGTCTTTGTTTTGGAGGGCTGCTTTTAGAGAAACATGAATATGTTCTTTGCCTTTCGTTTTTTAAAGATACATAAACAAAACCAGAATATCTTTTTAGAGTATAGCACTCCAAAAAAAAAAAAAACCAACAACAAACCGTTACTAATGTTGGGTGAAGTTCTGTGAGCTGGTCAAAATTCTGAGATTGTTATAGCAAAATGTGTATGGACCCTAGCTTCAGTCTGACTGCTAGTGTTCAGACCAGTCCAGTCTCAAGTCAGATGTTTGCAACTTCTTGTCTTTTTCTGTAGGGATGAAGAAATGGATGGGGAGTGGGAAGCCCCTCAGATCCCTAATCCGAAGTGTGAAGCTGTGCCTGGTTGCGGACACTGGGTGCGTCCCATGAAGAATAACCCAAACTATAAAGGAAAATGGAAAGCACCTTTGATAGATAATCCAAACTATCAGGTAATAGAAACAGTCGTTGTTAAAAGGGATGGAGTTCTACAGGCAATTCAAAGTAATATATTTATTATGTAGGGGGTTTTGTGTTTTAGAATGTGAATACCCTCACTAAACATTCTGAGCTTTTTTGTGTTAAGTATATTGGAAAATATAAATGCTTCCCATATTAAAACAATTTTTCTGTTAGAAGTTGCTTTTGGCACTATTTGCACTTGTATTACTTAGTATGTTCTGTATGATTGTATTCTGGATCATGTTACTTAATGAAATATTGATCTCTTTTGTTGGGGTTTTAAGTCTTAACATTTTTTTAATTTAAAAACAAAACTTTTCAGTAAGCAGATTGACTTACTAGTTAAATTTTAGTGGAAGCATCAGTTTTAGATAATTGAATTCCCCTTCTGCCTACAGATATGAGGAAATCAATTTTATATTGAAGAAAGTTACTTTGTATTAATTATGGCTGGAGAGTACTTGAATCTGATTTCTATGAGCTTAAGATCCTAAGCACATTTGCAAACAAAATTTGGCTGTAACTTGCGTAGGTATCAACGCTGAATTTTCCTTCCATAAAATTTTCCCTAACACTTCTGGGTGCAACAGCTGTCAGTTTATACACACACGTAATGGAAGGGACCATGTGGATCATGCGATGTAGGTCCCCTGCAGTCTTAGGCCACCAGACAATAGACGGTTACCTCAGAAGATCCCATCAGTGACCACAAAACATTGAGCAGTGCCCTTACAAAAATGTATATGCTATATTGATGAACAAAACACAAAGCTATGTGTCACAGAAGGAGAGACTAGAGGAAAAAGTAATGTTAATATCATGTTTTCCCTTCAGTATTAGGAAATACTCAAGGAAACTTAAAAAGAGTATATTTGGAATCACCAGTACCAGCAAGAATGGCGATACTTTGTACAGTCAATTATTACCGTCACCCGGTGTCGACAAACCCATTAATTTTAAGATGTCTGCCCTAGACAGAAAATTGAGCCCCAGCTACCAAAATTCTATGGGCTACTTCCAATTCTGGTTGGTTATGTAGGTTAAACTCAATTGCTTGTTGTCTTAAATAGTGCATTTAAAATAGTCAGGAAGTTCCAATTGTTTTAAAATTTGTTTCAGAGTTTGGTTGGTTTTTTGTTTGGGGTTTTTTTTTTTTTGGTTTTTTTTTTTGTGAGGTGTTGGTAATTTTTTATTTCTCTCTCTTCCCCCCACCAATTAAAGGGTATCTGGAGCCCTCGGAAAATACCAAACCCAGACTATTTTGAAGATAGTCACCCATTCAAGATGACTGCTGTCAGTGCTATTGGTTTAGAACTCTGGTCTATGACGTCTGATATCTATTTTGATAACTTCATTATATGTTCAGAAAAAGAAGTAGCAGATCGCTGGGCAGCAGATGGCTGGGGCTTGAAGAAATTAGTAGCAAGTGCTAATGAGGTATAAACTTCGTTCTTGATAGTCAAAAGTAGTGAGAAAGATGTACTGTTGGAAGAATTTTCTGTCAGCTAATGTTATTTTCTGTCCGTTAATGCTGTCCGAGTATTAATTTGTTTGCAGTTAATATTTGTGCTAACTATGATAGGGTTGGTTTTTGCATAGCTTGGCTTTTTACCTTTCCCCAGTGAATATCCTCTTGAAATTAAAAGGGTACAACATTTTACTGAAACACTACTGAGAAATTGACTTCACTATAGTTAAGTGTTCTACTGTTCATTGTGGTACTAGAAATTGAGTACCTGTCAGCAAATGGAAGCTGACTTCCTTGCACTCAAAGACCTCTTTTGTTTGGGGTTTGTTCTTTTTTGTTTTGTTTTTATGTTGGTTTGTTTTTTCTTTCACTTACTGATACCTCCATTATATATGTTCTTTGCATGTTTTCCTCCCGTGAGAAATGAGTAGTCATGTGGGTTTTTTTGTGTAATAATTTTAGGCCTTTGGCTGGTTGGATGTATATTATGCAGCTCTGAAAATAGTACACGTGTTTATGGAGCTGTGTCTGTGCTTCCGTTTTGATGTGTGCATCCACATTTTTTCTAGATCTCTTTCATAATGCAAAGGCTCAACTCGCTCTGATGCACGGTATCGTGAGCCCCTCTAGTGGCTGCCTGTAGTGCCTACAGTTTTTCTGACAGTCCTGTGTTTTCTTTGGTTGAGTGACAAGAGGAGGCCTGCAGTTGTGGGAAAGAAATGACGGGTTGGTGGCAAATGTGGCCAATTCCTGACAGTTGCTGTTTGTCACAGGATGAGCAAGTCGCAACAGGATATCTTCCCATGGAATTAGGAAAGACACCTCCCACATCCTTGCCCTTTTCTGAAATACATGGGTTTATGTCTGGACCTATATCTATACTTATATACACAACAGCAAAAAATAGTCTCTTTAAGTCCTCTCACTCCACTGTGCCTCTCAGACTCCTTGCCTTTGTTTCTGATGTACCCTGTCCAAGGGTCTTGCTGGACCAGGCACTTGGCCTACCCACCTACCTCTACTGTGTAAGTCGGGACTGGGCTGGCATGACAGTTTACTCCCTGAATAATTGGCTGTCAAACCAGAGAATGTGGTAGCACAGATGGAGCAAGACACTGCTGTTCAGGAGGCTGTCTGCTGCTCTGAGGTTCTTGATGCTTTGGGAGCTTCCAGCTGAGTTAACATAGTATGGGATAAAAACAAAGTAGCTGGGAAGGGTGTAAAGTGTAAGCTTGCCAAGACTCTAGATGTCACTTTGCAAAATTGAGTAGTGGCCAGTCTAGTACGTTTGGAGTACTGGGTTTGTTCCTTCTTACATTTGCAGTCTGTCAAGTTGTTACTTTACTAGTATTAAAATCCAGTATTGTTTTAGTCATTAAAAGATAGACTTAAAGAAGGGTTTTCTTCAGGCAACATAAAGCTTAAAATATATACAGTACACTTTGTAAACTTAATGAAGTGTTGAGAGGGATGTAAATGCAAAATTAATAATTGTTTTTAATGTAGCCTGGCATGTTTAGTCAGCTGGTGACTGCTGCAGAAGACCACCCATGGCTCTGGGTTCTTTACATCTTGACTTTAGCTCTCCCTGTTGGTCTAGGAGTGTTGTTCTGCTGGCCAACAAAGGTAAGAGAAACTTACTATATTTTTATTTGATTTTACTCTTAATACTTTATTTGAAAATTCTGATTATCTGTGCAACAGTATGTGCTTTCAATGTGCCACTGATATCACTTAGCTTACAGTGGCTTTTGTTTAATTCTTAATTTGAGTTTAAATGTAGATTGATTTTTTTTTTTGTTTGTTTTTAATTTGTTGTAGAAAACAGATGAAGATATTGACTTCAAAAAACCTGATATATCTAAGCCAATTACAAAGGGAGAACTAGACCAAGAGGGAGAGGAGTTAGATGATGATGAAATAGAATTAGAAGAAGAAAAAGAAAATGAAGATACTGCTGAAGATGGTAAGATGAGCAAGCCAGCTTGCAGTTTGATTAATCGTGAAGATAGGAATAGGACTATTTTGTGGATTTCATTGCCAATAATTACAACCAGTTGTCTTAGAATATGCACAAATGCCATGCTCTGAGTTGTCTTTTTCTCTTTAACAACCTCCAGCAAGTGGCATTCCATAGCTAGTAGTTTTTTGATAAATACAAGCAGAAAGTAAGGCTCTTCTCAGTCTTTTTCACTTTCCGGAAATCAATGTGCTTCCACCAGTCTTTCTGTGTTTGTAGATAGTGATGTGTATTTTCTCAGTTCTGAATATTTCTTATATTGAGCATATTTGTATGGTTCAGATACATGTACGTGAAGTGGTTGAAGTAACATTGTTGTCTTCAAAAGGTATTCCAGACTCATTTAAGTCTTTAACGTAAGTCTTTCATCCTGTTTGTGGGATGGTTGTACCTTGAACTATTTTATTGGTCACTGATTTTACTAATTCTTGATAAAGCCTGAAAATGCAGTAGATGTGAAATACTGAAAACTGCTACTTTTTTTTTTTTCCCTTGAAGGAAATAACTTAAGATTGTTGTTCTAGTTGGTCACTTAAAAGTCTGAAAGTATGTGATATTGTGAAAAGACAGTAGGCCAAAGCTGTTAAAATTAGTTAGTAAATCCAACAGTGATCAATTTCTACTAAATGATGAGAATTCTACTCCCTGTCTTAGAGATATTTTTATGGGTTTTGTAAACTAGCAGTTCATTCTAAGACTGAGATTGGCTGTCTTCCTTACTAGTGTGTCTGTAAATAGTATATTTTTAATGTAGTTCTGTTTACCAAGTAAAACTAATTTCTTCTGCAGAAGATGAGGGTGAAAAAGAAGAAAATGACATTGCCGATACAAGTCAAGAAGAAGGCGATAAGTCAAATAAATCTGGTTCAGAAGATGAGGTAAGATTGTGGGGATGTTTTCCCCTAATTTTTTCCTTGCCCTTATCTGACATTGCACTTCTGACTAAGCTCAGTTACCCACAAGAGTTTTTCTTTTGTCAAGACATAAAACACATAATGAGGAGGGATGTGGTTTTGAGTTGGACATCTCAACTGCTCTCTATATGTTTGTGAAACATGTCTCTTCCTGTGTAATTTTGGCTAGGAGGCGATATTTACTGTAAAATACAGGTATAGTATGAAGTGATCATGCAGGTCTCTAAACATGAAACAATTTTATGGGAGTATAGTTTTTAACAAGTTATTAAATTAATTGCAAGTCTTAAATTTGGCTACTGCAGTAGATGTCAGTCTCTTTATATCGTGCTACTTAACTGATGGAACATGTGATTCTAACCAAATAGCCTTTCAGTGAGACCTGAAAAACCCTTAAGCTATTTTTAGCTTAAGTTTGGGTGGCTGGTTTTTGGTTTGGTTTTGGTTTGTTTTGTTTTAATTAAAAAATAAGGTTTTAATCAAGATGACCATACTGGTTTTGAATTCAGCACCTGCAGTTCCATTTTTCTTGTGCATGTTAATCCAGTCACCAGATAATCTGTAAAATGTTTTTCAGAAAATTACATTGTAGAATGGAGTTTGTGTGTGCTTTTCTTGCTTATCAACTGCTCATAATCCTTTCATTTAGAAACATCGATATGTTTGAGATGCTTTAGATCCACCCACAGTATTTTTGTTGGTAATCCTGTGCTTGCCATTCCCTAAATGAGTCCCTTCCCAGATTAGGAGAGTTTAATGTAATTTAATTCCTTTTCATATAGAAGTCCTCTGAGACACTTACATGAGGTTGCATTGCTTCAGCACTGAAATTCTCCATTGATTACCCCTTATTCAGTACTTCCCCTTGTTCCTGTAAGAAGTTTAGAGTCTTTTTTTCCCTTAAACACTTATCTGGGAACACAATATTTGGTGAAACCATTAAGATGCATGTGTGTCTCTGTGAAAGTACCAACAAGATCCGAGTGTGTGTGTGCCATTACATGGTATCGCAGTGAGGTTATGGCTTGCTCCTCTCTGGGTATTTTCAGGGTGTACAAGTTTCTGTCATGAGTTACCTAGTGACCTACTTGGGAGATGTCATGGATGCCATATTCTCATTTGGGTTGCGCCACAGTCTGTGAGCTGCTCATTCTAAATGAGGTGCTTGCCATTAGGTGATGAAGGGATGTGAGAAAGCAATGCATTGTCTGCTTTTAAATTGGGCAGTAAACGGGCAAAACCAAATTCCTGACATCAGTTTAGGTGTACTGGTCTCTTCCTTCTGCATATAGAAAGGAAAAGTCTTCTACCCACTTTATTTATTGTTAGATTAGCATTATGGAAAAAAACGTCCTATCACTGAAGTGTTGCCTTTAGTGATACTAGGATGGGGGGGAGATAAATGTAGTATGTCAGTTGTGATAATTAAATTAAAGCTGGTTTAAAATTTTAAAGCTAATTTTTTTTTATTCCCCGAACCACCCCCCCACACCGTACCTCTACATGAAG